AAATAAAGAAAGTGTGTTACTTGCATTAGGTGGTAAGGCCTCCAACTTCTTAAAAGCGAAAACTTGCAAATAAACTACATATTCATTTAAATTTATTTAGCACACACACACACACACACACACACACACACACACACACACACACACACACCCAGAAGCCAAACCATAATGGATGATTAAACACATTCATGTAGACACACATGATAAAACATCACACCATCATTTGGTGTGGACTGGAGACAATCTCTGACAACATGAGATACGGTCAGTGGAAATTTAAGTGGAAAAAATGAGGATATTCCTGGTGCCCTATTTAAAAAAAAAAAAATTGAAACTAAACAAAAAACACATGCAGAGAAAAAGAAATGATAAACAACAGTGGCTTTCTCTGGAGGATGGAACGACTGGTAATTTTCAAATTATTTGTTGTTTTTCTGAATTTCCATAAGTAAACATATATCATGTTTATTATCAGGAAAAAATACATATTTGTTCAAAATCCTGACTCCCGTGACGTAGGAGCTGTGTGAGGAAGAGAGGAGCAGCCCCTGAGTGGGGGCCAGCCCTGCTGCTCCCCCGCGGAATACACGGGGTCCCACAGAATCCATCGCACAGGCTGCTGCGTGACCCACTGTGGTGGGCCAGGACAGAAAGGCCCCATCATCACGTCTGAACGCACAGGACAGGAGCCCCCGCAGCAAATGCCCACCTCTCCCGGCCACTGCGAGTGACGGCTGCTGCTTCAACAGCAACCGGTCAGACTGGGCTCCTGGACTGAGGTATCCAGTCACAAAACCACCCCGCTTCCTGACCGCACCTGATCCAGGGTGAAGCCCACTTCCTGGGCCCCTCCCTACATTCTGTAACTCATCCTTTCTGACACCTTCCTCCTGAGGTCCCCCAGGGTCCCCTGAGGCGTACACTGCCCCGGGTGCTGGGGGTGGCCTCTGGCTGCAGCGTGGGGAGCTCGCACAGGTAGGTGTGAGGGTTCCCATTCTGCAGGCGTGCCCTGGGTCTGAGTGGGGGTCAAAGACCTGCCTCAGGCTGTGGAGCAAAGAACCCCTGGTGCCTGGACCACTGCGCCCTACCAACCCCAAGGACAACAATGGAACCATCTCAGCACGTGGTGAGAGCCAGCCACTTTTCCAATAAGCACTAGAAGTATATGAACCACTCGGTCCACCCAAAGCCTCACAAGGCGGGCATTATCACCCGTATCTGACAGCTAAGGAAACGGAGACACTGACAGTTCACACTGTGGAAATACGAAGAAATTCCAGGGAGAGCAAAGCTTGGCAGAGGCCAGCGTGCATCACTGTGGGCCATGAGTCCGTGGTCCCTCGGGAGAGAGCCTTGTGAGCTAGCCCACTGCAGAGCTCGGGGGACACACACTCTGCGTAGGGCGGATTCAGAGTGACTGTCACTGGGGTCCCTTCCTGGGTAGCCCCTGCAGCTGGCCCACCCTTTAAATCCTTCCCACTGTCCCCACTCCCCATCTGCCAGACGCCTCATGAGTAGGAAGCACCATCTCTGTGCCTACCTGGGCTCCCACCCCGCAGGGCCCAGGGTCCTGAGCAAATGCTCAGCGGTGACAACAGAAATGCGCTGCCCCACGTTGCCACCGCGTCCCCCTGCGTGGCTGCCCCTCTGTCTCCTTCACTTCCCCACGATTTGCTGTCTCTTCAGAAACCAGGACTTGGCAGAGGCCAGGATGGAAGCAGTGTCATCGTGCTTACTACAGTCTCAGGTCAGGGCTCTCAGCCAAGCCTCAGGGGCAGGGCCTGGGCCTCGTGTTTTTATAAAGCTCCATAGACGGGTGCAGCTAAGAACCTCCAACGCAGGGTGCTGCCACAGGGCAGAGCAGCGCCCGCCACCATGTGAGGCCCAGAGCCACGGGCAGAACAGCACCCACCGCCACGTGTGGCCCAGAGCCACACAAGCCTCCATGCTGCACAGAGGAGTCAGCCACCCCCGCTTCGATGCTCACCGGGATGGGGAAGCCTTCATACTCCAGGCGGAGCTGGGGGTCGGGGAAGGCAGCCTGCCAGCAGTTCAGGTAGGAGACCTCATCCGTCAGGTACACTTCCTGGAGCCATGACCTCTTAGACGACCTCAGGAGGGTCCTATGGTCACTCGACAGATATAACTGAAAATGACAGCAAGCAGACGAACCGCGTTACACTATCGGAGAAGCTGGGAGACAGGAAGCCATCAGCTGGCTGGGTGGCGAGCGTGTTCAGAAGCAGTTTTCCCACAGCCTGTTTTTACCAACAGCCTGAGAACGCTCAGTTTCTCTCCACCTCAGAAACGCCGTCTCGGGTCATGGTGCACGAAGCTCATTGCAGAACGGGAAGTCCTTTTAAAACCAGGATCGTCACAGCTGACTTTCCCTTCTGAGTGAGGGCGGGGTGGGAGGGCGAACCCCTCTGGGGCTGACACCCACACTTGGAATGTATTTAGGCAGCTGTCTGGCTGCCTGTGACTTTGCCAAGAAGTCAAAACCCTGCTGAAAAGTCCAAAATGTTAAGTCCTCATTAGCTCTTTACCAATTCACCTTCACCCTGAACCTGGAGGTCATATTTGATAGGTTACATAGGCAAAGGCTATGCCACAAGGTGCTGTGGGGAAGGCAAAAATGAGCGACTTCCCAATAAGTTCTCTGACTCGCAGAACTGATGACTGTGTAGAGGCGGGAAGCACCTATGAACACCTGTAAGGTGTGGTTGTCAGGCAGGGATGCCCGGAGCTGGGAGAGGCAGAGGTGGGAGCACACACTGTCCCAGGGGCCCAGGGCAGCTGCAGCGGCCTGGACAGAGGCACGGCATTGGGGATAAGAGAAGGATAGGCCACAGTGCACAGTGAAGGGGGAGCCTAGGACCTGACAAGGAGCTGGATGTGGCGGGAAAGGGAGACGGGTCCAGGTGCCCCGTGGCTTCGTCGCTGGGTAATGGGGAGAATGGCAGTGCCATTCAGAGCAACCACAAGACCAGGACTTCAAATGGCAAAAAACACCTATGTGAAGCCACAAACTCTGCCTTGTGAGTGCAGAGTAAAAACGTCACAAGTCAGGAGCCACACTGGAAGGCCACGATCCCCAGGTGTGTCATGAATGCCTGGAAGAGCCAGCTAAATGAAAAACCGGGAACGCGAATAAGTGTGAGAACCTCAAAAGATAGAACTGTCATCGTGAGAACACGGAATGACTGTCTACCTACAAGTCGAAAGAGGATCAGCTGAAAGCCTATTCAAATGAGTAAGAGTAAGTGATGTCATCAAAGATGAATACAAAAATCAACGGCTTTCTTATGTTTTTGCGTTAAGCATCATAAGGACCTCCCTACAACAGCATCCAAAATAGCAGATGCAAGGGACAGCCTTGACGAGATCAGTGTCAGGTCCATGTGAAGGAAACCACAAAACTGTACGGAGAGATACAAGAGAATAATCAAATCAATGGAGAGATCTCAGAAAAATATTATAAAGCCACTAAGCATATGAATTTACTTCACATTACAATGCCAATCAAAATACCAACTGGCTTTTTGTTTTTCCACAGGGGCAGAGGAACTTGAAAAAAATTATTACCTTTAACTGAGAGATTAATTCTTAATATAATTCAGACAAAGACGTGCAATGAGTGGGAACCAGCCCTAGGAGCTGTCGAAGTGTATTCTAAAGCTACAGTCCCGTAATAAAAATAGACAACCCCAGTTCAAAGGCTCAAAGCAGGAATTTCAGAAAGAGCATGTTGTGTATATAATAAGTCAGGGTATGCTAATGGGGCAACATGTGTCAGTGAAGAAAAGAATACTTATTCAAGAAATAACACAAATATGACTGATCAGTCCTTTGGGGGATAGTTAGATGTTCACATCAAACCCTTTATCAAAATAAATCCCAAATGGACTAAAGAATAAACTGAAGCAAGAGCTAAACTTTAGACATGTAGAAGTTAATACAAGTTTTTCTTTTTATCGTATCTTTGGAATAGGCTATAAAGGCTCTGAGCAATGGAAGGAGTTACAAAGCAAAACACTGATAGATTTTACTCAAAGACGTATCAGAACAACTACAATGTAAAAGCCAAGTAGCAAATGAGAGGAAGTATCAGCAACAAACATGACAACATTTTATGATCTGTGGAAGAGCAGATACGTAAACTCAAATCGATAATCAGGCAAAGAAAGATGATTTACAGGAGAGGAGGAAATGGAAGAAGAGAGACAGAAGGAAAAAGAGAGGCAAACAAACAAAATGGAAGAAATGATACCGAAATACCATTTTCCCTGTAAATGATACCGAAATACCATTTTCCCTGTGTTTGAAGTCTGTTCTCCCTCCCTCTATAAAAGAAAATAAGCCAAAATGTTACAGTGCTAATTTCTGGATAAGAAAGACAATGATGGGGCCGGCTGAGTGGCGTGATGGTTAAGAACTGGCTTGGGATGCCAGAGGNGGCAGCCCACTGCAGCAGGGGCTGCAGCCTACGCTGTCGCCGGCGACCCACGGCAGCCCAGCTCCAGGTCAAGCTGTTGTTCAGCATCTTAGCTGCAGAGGGCAGTGTCACTGGCCCTCATATGTGGGATCCGAACCGGGGCCTTCTGGCATCCCAAGCCAGCTCTTAACCAACGGGTCACTCGGCCGGCCCGCTGATTTCTTAATACGCTGTTTCAATGGGGACAAAGGGTGGTGCAAACACTCAGTGTAGTCCAACAGCTTTATTACAGACACGGCTTTGAGAGGTGACACATAGTCCCTACATGGGATCTAAACAGGAGGCTGAGCTCTTCACAATTCCTGAGCTAGTCCCCTCGGCTAGTTTGTTCTGTGTCCTAGCCCACCTTGAACCTCCCCCCGCAACCAACCACTAACTCATTCATCTTCCCATAGCCTTTGTTTCAATATAGTGTTCAGAGAGCCACCTTAAAATAAGCTGGGGTCATAACAAGGTAACTGTGGTTTCACGGAAAGCCACTTAGGGTGAGGGCGCACCTGGTGTGTCACTGGCCCCCCAGCTCAGCCGCCTGCCCTGGAGCGCAGGTGTCCTCCACCGGTGGTCTGAGCAGGTGCAGCATGGTGGGCGAGTCCTTCCTGGGGCTCCCGGTCACCAGCACCCAGTGGTTCTGGGGCTTTTCCACTCTGTGTGAGTCCAGGTATGTGTGAGCAACGACCTCTGCTTCCTTCCCGAAATAGGTCCTGGGGCGGGAAGCATGGATGCAGGTTGGAAATGGAGCAACAGCTCAGCCAGCTGCAGGGTTCTCCTCAGAGGCACCTAACTGGGCCGACTGCTCTACAGAGCCCTCGGGAGGGGGCATCTCTAAACTACAGCACTTTTTCCAGGATTTTCACCCCGTGTGAAGGGGCAAGGACGGGTGGTAGGACCCCATTATGGCTAAAATCCCCTTGGGGCCAAGCACGGGTATGACCGAAGGGGTTCTGTCACTGAGGACGTTTCACACCATTGAAGTTCTATGTGACCATGTTCCAGCATCAAGGGACATTGTGTGTGTGTTGCCACACTCTGTAAATGGGGCTCCTCTGCCTATATCCACGCCCCCACCCGCGTGGCACTTCATACCTTAAGAAGAGATGCCGGTGGATCGCTAGCCCCCGGCCCGTGTGGCAGTGGCTGATGAGAAGTTTTACGTTTGCCTTTAAAAATAAAGAAAGTGTGTTACTTGCATTAGGTGGTAAGGCCTCCAACTTCTTAAAAGCGAAAACTTGCAAATAAACTACATATTCATTTAAATTTAGTTTACACACACACACACACACACACACACACACACACACACACACACACACACACACACA